ATGTCTATGTATAATGTATCAGCATTTACTGATGACACTGGACAGTATAAAAAAGTCCTGTCAAATACATCAATGCCTTCATCGTGGCCTGTCAAATTTCTGATCCAGTTGTTGATCTTCTCAAATTTGAAAGGCCTATGTTTTTTTCTTTACAATTTCATTCAGTTTCCAAACTAATTGAACCCTGTCTTTGGCAATAATCAGAATAACTTCTTTGAAGAACAATTCTTTGTACAGTCCATCCAGCATGATATCAACCCTGTAAAACCTGCATCCCTTGGCTGTGAAATCTCCATTTCTCGCCTTTCCATAACTCTCAAGAACTCATCGGAGCTTAAACTCCCATCTAGATTGGCATCGAACATGTAAAATACCATGTTGATAACATTATCAGAGAGGGATATGCCACAAACCTTGCATCATATGCACAAGTCAATCAGAATACAAGCCATAATATCTATAACAGAGAGAATGCATAACACACTAAGGGCCCTTTTGCATGGCTTTTGAAAAGCTAAAAGAAGCTTTTGAAACTCAAAAGCTGCGTTTGAACCCATTTGGCTAAATTTATAAGTGTTTTTTCTAGTTAAAAGAGCTTTTACGGGAAGTTAGTTCAACGTGGCTTTCTTTACTTTTAAAAATTAGATTCCAAACAAGATTAAGATAGCTTACTCAAACAGCTCTTCTACAGGAAATAAAAGCAAAAGCAAAAGCTATGCCAAACGAGCCTTAAATATTGTAATGGAAGAGAAGCATTTGTAAATATATATATATACTTGTTCGGCTGCTCTTTTGAAGTCTTTCTTTGACAGTAGTCCATTCACTTCTCCATAACTGAATAGGGCCATGGAGAACGGCTGCAATCTTTTGCGAAGCTCAGCAAAATTCTTGAATTCTTCAAATGTAAAACGTGAGTCTTTTAGAGATGGCTCCTTGTTTAGTTCATCAACTCGATCGAGAAATTTGTTTATATATCTCATATCAGCGGATGCAACCATAGACAAGGCAAAATCTTTAGCAGAAATAGTGCCTTTTGACTTGTAATCATAATGAGCAAACTCCAATCTCAGCATCTGTCAAATTGAAAAACCAAAATTTTGCAATCATTTGTGTCCATAATACCTCATATAACACCGATGAAAAACTAAGTCTTATTCCCAATTTATTTGCGATCAGTTACATAAATCTTTCTCAGCCACAATGTCCATGATCAACTTGTAAATCCAAAGCAACTAGATCTAGTGCTCTACCCTCTCTCTTCCAGTCTCTTCTTCTGTCGAATTATTCTTATTAATTCAGCCTTATTAGATGTATGCAAAATATATCCGGACAAATTAAGTCGTCGCTGTCAAATATTCTTGATGGAGCTACCTCATGTAGGCATATATTCTCACAGAAATGATAATTGTACAGGGGAAATGCACATACGGTTTTATAGATATGGTAGCACTTTGACTATTTTAATTATGTTTTTTGTCCAAAATCCAATCAAATGTTGCCATGTGGCATTCTGTAAACCTATTTGTGCATTTTTATTGTAAATATAACATTGCTATCAAGGCTTACATAATGATTTACATAATGTCACATGGTATTTTATCATTGGACAATTTAAAACACCGTCAACTTTTTTATCCAATACTTTCCCTTTCAACTCATCTTTTGGCACTATTTGTGGACAATTCCTTCTGGCAAAGTAGATTAATACTATTCTCAATTCTTACCCAATCATTTTAGCATGCCTGCATATGATATCACTAAGTGACAAAAAATAGTCTCACTAGAGCATTTCAGACTGTACGCAAAAAACAGGTTCAAGTCAAATATCAAGAAGTGAAGCAGAGATTAAAATAACGAAACTGGAAAATACATACTTCACCATGCAAGTCTCTCAAGAATTGGACAAATTTTTCACGTTCAAGGCGTTTGCTTCCATCACTGCCAAAGAAGTACTCTAGAAGACCACCATCCTCCACAGNATGAATTATTTTAGATATATATGTTTTTATCTAATTTATTATTAATTAAATCATTATCTTGTATACCTTTTAGAATAAGGGAAATCAAATGTTATCTAACCTTCTAACGTCAATGCGTTATGTCTTGCAATTAATTTGCAGAACACTTTATCCAATGTAATACTCATTTTTTTCCTTAAATATTTCTATCATTTTGATGTAGAAATGCTGCTTGTAACTTATGGAACATTTGAATATGTGCAACTTCGTGGAATACCCGGATATTGTTATATGCTAATTCGGTGTTTTATTTTTTGATAGTGTGGACTTTAAATGATTGTACTATTTTTAATTTCCTGCTTTATTTTGGATGACCGTATTATTTCTAATTTGTTTAACTATATCTTACGTGTTTTATTTTTTCCGTTCACGTTGTTTTGAAATGGGAAAAAAAATCTCTAATATATAATTCATCAACCAGTAGACGATAAAAGCCATAGAGATCTCAACTATTGCCATCTACAGTGTCGAAATTGCTTGAAGTGACAATAATCGCACAATTCAAGTCATAATTTGAAGATTACTATCACATTATATCCGAATAATGGGACAATTCGTGACATAGGACATTTGAATAAGTAATTTTGTATTGATCGATTATGTTATAATTCACTGAATTTTATGTTTGTATACTGTTTCAACGTTCTAATCAATGATCAATCAATATATGTTACTGGAATTGCTTGAATTGATAATAATCGAACAATTCAAGTCACAATTTTAATGAATGATCAATCAATTTATGTTACCATTTTATGTAGTTCATGTAATCGATCACATTTAAAACTCTGGCATATTAATAAATGCATATGTATGTGACCTCATATCGATATCTATGTTCATGAGGTAAATTATGTGACTTGTATATAAACAAAGTGATTGAACACTCAGTGACCTAGCTTATTTCATTAGATGGCTAGATTTTAGAATATATAACATGCATTTAAAAAAATTGAAATGGTATTCTGATGGACATTATTTGGTGGATTCTATGTAATTAGATATTGTCATGTTTTAAAAGATGCGTATATACGTGATTTGATTTTGATGTATGTGATCGTGAATTGATATGTGTGACCTTAATCTATACAATTTAATTAAATGTATTATGCAAAAGGTGTGTGACAATTAGTGTTCGTGATGTATAATGTCATAGGAAAATGTGACATAATTGTATGAACAATATGTGACCTGCATCTATTCATTCTATGACCATGAATAAGAAATCGTGACATACATTTGTTGCGACCTAGAATTGTATTTGTGAATAACATTATTTAAGTTAAATTTGCAGAAATAGGATACATTTATGTTTGTTTGTTGAATGGATCACAACTATCACTGGTGTTGATCGATCAAAATTGGGGGTATATGAAACTTGTGGATATAATTATGACAAAGTTTAGTTTGAATACTACTGAGGTGACAGTTACAATGAAGTATGTATAGAACAATAATTTGCCTCCGATTATAATAGAGTGACAATAACATGTTGTCGTACATGGTGTTACAGAATATGGATCGTAACTCTTCCAAATATCTAATAAACAATGAGGTCACAGCTACAGAAAGCAAAAATAACATGTCACAGTACCAATTGGTGTACAATCTAATGAATATGAATTTTCATTACTGGATATGTCATCAAATATATGTGGAGTAATAGTAGAACCTTCATGTCACAATTTTGAACATAAAGTCACAATTGTATCTATCACTAATGCTAGGGATGTAGAAAAAGGAAGGAGGGCAACTACAAAAAATACATGTCCAAAGGCCAAGTATAAATAAGGACACAACACCTTCTTTAGATGAAGAGCGTGCGGAATAGGACGACCAAACAATGGAGTCCATCCCCAATGAGAGTTCAGATACATCACGGGATAAATCAACCAATCTTGTAAACCCTTATGAGTCTCTTATTCCGTTTCCTCGGAATTGAAAAGCACAAGATGGATCAATAGTACAAGAAATTCCTTGAGGTCTTCAAGAAACTCCATATAAACATCTTGTTTATTGATGTACTATTTCAAATGCCTAGCTACGCCAAGTTCCTAAAGGACATTCTATCAAATAACTGCAAGCTAGAGGAAAACGATGATGCTAACCTGGGCGCTCCAGAATTCAGAAAAAGCTTTCGCCAAAATTGAAAGACTCAGGGAATTTTACTGTACTTTGCATATTTTGATAAGGTTTTATGTGATTTAGATGCAAGCATTTATTTGATGCATCTTTCCGTTTTCAAGAACTCGGATTAGGAGAGGGTAAAGCAACCTTTGTAATGTTGCAACTAGCTAATCAATCCCTAACACACTCAAGAGGGATCATTAAAGACGTGCTAATCAAGATGAAAAAAAATTCATCTTCTTTATCGATTTCCTCATCCTTGATATGGGGGAAGACAAAGATGTTCCATTATTTTGGGTAGATTGTTTTTAGATACTAGCAAAGCCTGATAGATGTTCAGAAGGGTCAATTAATTCTGAGGCTTGGTGAAGAACATATCTTCTTCAATGTTTTCAAGGCTATAAAATTCCCTATCGAGTTAGACATCTACTTCCAAATTGATGTGATCGAAAGGGTGGTTCAAGATACATTTTTGCTACCCAATCCATCAGATGCGTATGAGGCATGAATTGCACACTCTTAATCAACTCACTTTGATTTCCTTGAGATTGAGAGATGTACAAGGTTCTTGGAGACTAACCCACCTTACACACGTAAACGCCACTTGAGACTTAACTAATTACCACCTCATCTCGGATATGCCTATTTGTGGGAGTCTTGTACACTCCCAGTAATTATTTCAAACACAGTCAGCAAGGTGGAGGAAGAAAGACTGCTTCGGGCACTCGGGGATAACAAAACAGCTATTAGATGGACCATTACAGACATTAAAGAGATCAACCTTTCACTGTGCATGCATAAGATTTTCATGGAGGAGAATTTTCGACTTAGTATAGAAAGTAAGCGGAGGTTAAATTCCAATATGAAAGAAGTGGTCAGAGCAGAGGTGTGGAAGCTTCTGGATGCAGGCATCATTTACTCGATATCAAACAGTGCATGGATCAGCTCGGTTCAGGTTGTGCTAAAGAATGGTGAGATTACGATAGTACAGAATGAAAAGAATGGGTTAATTCATACCAGAACAGTTACAGGATAGAGAGTTTGCATCGACTATCGCAAACTCGATGCAGTCACTCAGAAGGACCATTTTTACCTTCCATTCATTGATCAAATATTGGAGAGATTGGCACGACACTCACATTACTGTTATCTAGATGGGTACTCAAGATATAATCAGACCCTAGTAGCGCTAGATGACCAAGAAAATACTACATTCACATATCCCTATGGTACCTTTGCTTGCCATAGGATACCTTTCGATCTTTACAATGCTCCTGCTATCTTTTAGTGGTACATGATGATAATTTTCTCTGGTACAATTGAAAATTTTATAGAGGTATTCATGGATGACTTCTTGATTTTGGGTTTCGTTTGATTAGTGCTTGGAACATCTAAGTTTGGTCTTATAGAAATGTAAGGAAACAAATTTGGTATTGAACTGGGAGAAATGTCACTTCATAGTACAGAAGGACATTGTACTAGGATATCGAATTTCTAAAAAAGGGATTGAGGTGGATCTGGCAAAAATTCAGGTCATCAAAAAACTACCGCCACCAACATCAGTTAAAGGTGTTCATAATTTCCTATGGCTTGTTGGTTCTACAGACGATTTATCAAAGACTTTTCAAAGATGGTTAAGCCTCTGTGCAATCTGTTAATGAAGGATGTCCCATTTGACTTTACTGAGGAGTGTTTGTCAGCTTTCAATACTTTGAAAGAAAAGCTTATCTTAGCACCGACGATTGTCACACCAGATTGGGAATTGCCATTTGAATTGATATGCGATGCAAGTGATTATACTGTGGGGGTTGTATTGGGATAGTGTAGGAACAAGATCTTCCATATGATATAATGCGCAAGCAAAACCCTGAATGATGCATATCTCAATTATGCCACTACTGTAGTGTATGCCTTTGATAAATTTCGATCATTTCTCGTCGGGTCAAAAGTTATAGTATACACTGATCACGATGCCTTGAAATATTTAATTACAAATAAGGATGCGAAGTCGAGATTAGTACGTTGGGTTTTACTGTTGCAAGAGTTTGATCTTAAAATCAGGGACAAGAAGAGGAGTAAAAATATAGTGGCTAATCACTTGTGTCACCTAGCCTGGAGAACTGGTAGAGTCATCAATTATAAATGATGCTTTCCCAGACGAGCAAATGTTTAGTGTGAAAGAAGCACCATGGTATGCCGACATTGTGAATTACTTGGCAAGTCCATCACTCCACTAGATTATTCAAGTCATCATAGAAAGAAATTCTTCGCTGCTTTTAAATACTATTTTTGGGAGGATTCCATTCTCTATAGGTGAGGGGCAGATCAGATCATTCAATGATGTGTGCATGAGGAAGAAATGCCTCGAATACTTGAACATTGCCATTCATCAGCATATGCGGCGCATTTTAGGGCTTCAAAGACAGCTGCAAAGACCCTACTGTCTGGATTCTACCAGCCTACATTATTTCGGGGTACCTTTGAGTTTGTTAAGAGGCGTGACATATGTCAACGCACTGGAAATATCTTGAGAAGGAATGAGATGCCTTTAAATAGTATTTTGGAGGTGGAGCTGTTTGATGTATGAGGGATTGACTTTATCGGACTATTTCCTCCATCGTTCTAAAATGAATATATACTGGTGACAGTTAACTATGTCTCCAAATGGATAGAAGCAGTAACATTGTCAACCAACGATTAAAGGTGGTGATTGGATTTCTAAAGAAGTACATTTTCACCCGTTAAGCACTCCTCGAGCTATCATAAGTGATGGGGGTAAGCATTTTTACAATCGTCAATTTGAGTCCTTGTTGGCTACATATGGCATTCAGCACTGTGTAGCTACTCCATGTCACCCTTAGAGCAGCAAACAAGTTAAAGTCTCGAATCGGGAATTGAAGAGGATACTTGAGGTCACAATGAGTTCTTCAAGAAAGGATTGGTCTAAAAAGATTGACGATGCCTTGTGGGCATATAGGACAGCTTTCAAAATATCGATAGACATGTCTTTTTATCACCTAGTTTTTGGAAAAGTGTGTCACTTGCCAGTTGAATTAGAGCATCGTGCTTATTGGGCGATCAAAAATTTGAATTTTGATTTGAAAATGGCTGGTGAAAAGCGTTTACTTCAACTAAATGAAATGGATGAATTGTGCCTGGAAATATATGGGAATGCAGAGCTTTACACAAAAATGCACCAAAAAGTAGAATGATATGCATATTCAGAGAAGAGATTTTAAGGTGGGGTAAAAAGTTCCGTTGTACAACTTTAAACTCTAGCTCTTCCCGAGAAAATTGAGATCAAGGAGGTCAGGTCCATACATAGTTACCAAGGTTCTTTCTATATGGGGCTGTAGAGATCAACCATGAAAGCAAGGGGACATTTACAATTAATAGTCAGCGGTTGAAGCACTATTAAGCGGTAAATTCTCCAAGAAAAAGTTCACTGTTCACCTGAAAACACCAGAATAAAGCAAACATGATAGAGTCGAGCTATCAACTATAAACTTGCGCTTGTTGGGAGGTAACCCAACTTTTCTACATTTTTACTTTTTCCGCTTTATGCATCAGATTAGGAATTTCTCATGTTTTTTTATCGTTTTGGTAGTTTTAGGTCATCGTTCATCCATGTAGGTCACAAAGAGTCAATGCATGGTCCATACGAGTTCAAAAGGTGTTGCTTAGGGGTTATGAGGTGTTGAAATCATGTTTGGGAGGTTAGGTGTTAAAATCATGTAGTTCGAGGCAAAAAATAGATGTTTCCAAATTTGCTCGGATCAAACTGTGCTCTCAAGTTTAAAAGTGGTTTTGAAACTAATTTCATGGCATACACACACCCCATGCGATTTAAAATGTGATTTGACAATTTTTTGGGGGTGATGGAAAGCCGAGAGGAGTTATGGAGTAAAAATCGAAACTTTAGGGAAATTTTACCAAAAACGAGTTTTCAAGAAATTGAATGAGCTTTACAATTTTTTCATGATGCATAAACTAATCGCATTCATTTGTACTTGTTTAACACAAAAATCGAGCCCTTGGTGGTCTCGAATGGGCAAAGGTGGAAAATTTTGAAAAAAAAAAGAAGAAGAAGAAGCAAAAATGTCCCTCCTAATAGTCTATGTGACCACGTAGAACTACCCTCCATGCAGTCGCATATAAGGCTTCAGAGCCTAAGTTGGCTTTGGAAGTTTACTCAATGTGACTGAGACATTTTACTCTATGTGGTCGCATAAAGTAAATGTATAAAATAAATAAATAAATAAATTCAATTTTTAACTCTAGACACAAGCGTTTTAACACCCCAATTCATAAACCGCACGGCATTATACCCAACCCATGACACCTTGAACTTAATACACGCACACTACAAGTTGAAAACATCATAGCACACGACATTCAATTGAGATAGCAAGGAACTCTTATCCATCTCATAAAGAAGAAAATGTATGTTATCATCTCCATCTTCCATCTCTCTATAATTGAGACCTTGTTAAATTGAAGATGAAAGTGATTGATAGAGGAGTATGGGCATTGGGTAGCTTGTGAAAGAATTGATTGGAATTGAAGTGTGTAAGTAATTGAGGGATTTCAACCAAATTTTCATAACATTGTTAGAACAAAAGGGAATGCCTACTAAGTGTTCGACCAATTGCCTAGATGAAAATTCATATTGCATTATGACTTATCTATCCTTGGATATTATTTGCATGCATGAGGGACTATCTTTGATGCTTGAATTCACTGCAATTATGGTACAACATATCTCACACAATTTGACGCACATGGGCATGACATGGCTAGGTACACTCACTTCACGTCCCTCACTTTCCTAATCCAAAACGAACTCCGTTTGACCTCAATTTTGAATATGTACGAGAGTAACATGAACCTTTTTTATATGCCCAGAGATCGCTTGGGAAAATTTCGATTTTTCTCGGTGATGCCCGTAGGCAAAACCCCTAGGTTGATCATGGGTCAAATTTGGGAAAGTGCACAGTTTGAGTTCTTTTTGGGCTTGTGAGCTATACTTTGAAATCTTTGAAATAAGAACCCTACTTCTTGACATATTTCATCGAGCATGACATCATTACTTTTCTTTATGCCTCGTTCAGTCTCTTTACTTGATTTTATTGAACGCAAGCATCATATACCTGCATTTTGAAATAAGTTTGGTGGATTTTACGGCTTATTCTTTATCTTTTCTCCTACTAACATATCATTCAATTATGCATAGTAAATGGACTAATGCTTTCATTTTTCATAATTGTCAGGATGTCACCAAAGAGGACTGCTAAAGAGAAGAAGAAAGTAGCATCCACGTCTGGTACTACATGTACCCAGGCACTGAAAAGGAGCATACGGAGGTTCTTGAATCAAGAGGCCATATCAAAATACTCAAACATAGTTAGCCATTGGGCAATACTAGCAGAACGATCAATAAAACTCAAGGATTTTCTAGGATTTGAATTAGTGACTTTGGCTCATTATTGTGGTTGGGACAAATTGGTAGAGCAACCACACCCTATGTATGAAGGCTTGGTCCGAGAATTTTATGCAAACTTCAACATAGAAATCGATACTCCAGGATCAACTCATCAACATCAAGCATGGTTAAGGGACAAGTGGATTATATTTTCTTTAGAGATCATACATGACTACTATCAGCTCACTTGGGATAACATTGTCCCAATTCCCGGTGACTTTCCTTGGC